ACCATAGGCCTTTCCCGACCGACTATCGGACCCGGAATTCTTTCCCAACCAACAATCTGTTGGGATGCCATGGGCCTTTCCCAACCGACAATCTGACATCGTATTCTTTCCCAACCAACACTATGTTGGGCCTGGTATTAGCCTTTCTTGACCAATTGTTAGACAGGTTTTTTTTCCTGCCAACCAACATCCATTAGCCCTCCCATATGTGGACTTCAAATTGCCAATGCAATATACACCAAGTTATAGTCCATGTCATCAAAAAATACTGAACCAGATGCAAACAATAACAACATATATTTCATTAATTTTCACATATAAATACATCGTCTGTTATGGACTAATGACCATCCAAGTTTCCTATAAAACTAATGGAACTAATTAAGTAGAGGAAATATTATGGTTCATTGCCTAATAGCAAAAATTTCTCGCTTTATTTTCTAGAATTTGTCTTAAGAGGCACATCATCTGCCTTGGCTCCTTATAGTGTGCAACTACATACACATCCTCACAGCGTTCCACCAAGATCCTTGTGTCCTTCTAGTACTTGACATCAAAGCCTTCCTTCTACATGTCATTGGAGAACATCCTCCAGTTTGAAAATCTGCAAGTCAAAACCCCAGTTAATATTTCCGCACGATAACTGGAGAACGTGATATTCTCTCTAAGCTACCTTCAACATCATTTGATACCAAAGAAACTAAAGAGAATTCATTATCACTGATGGGAAAAGGGGTACCTTTAGCTCCCCTCTTGTGTTTCCAGTAACTTTGTTTACTATATCCTGAGATACATGAAAGGAGTAAAGAATCTAGCAACGAAAGGATAATTCTCTTCAGGACATGGGGGATAACGCTCTTCAGGCCATTCCTGTATAAATGAAAGGAGTAAGAAATTAGATGATTAATAATAGGTAGCAGCGGAAGCATTTGCTAAGCAACCAATTTACCCATGGGGATAGGTGGAGCCTTCAATATTTCCAAATCAGTGACATGCTCAAAGTCCTATTTGTAGGCAAGCCACTTGCTATCACAAACAAGCCAAATTAATAATAGGTGGTAGCGGAAGTGACATATTTGAATGTAACTTTGAAGCCAAGATCTGTTTGTGATCTTTGTCCACCATGCTACTACATCTTTCCAAATCATTCACTGAAAAACAACAGAAAACAAAACTTTATGTCAAGCCTGCTATCAAAAGAAAAAACATGTGTAACCAGTTCATGAAAGTACTTTTTAGAAAACTATAAAACAATAATGAAGCTTAATTAACTGATGCACATATAGAACTTTACTTCTTCAAGGGCTTCTCTATTTCCATGAAGCAAAGCAGCATAGATTTTTTAAATGATATTATTAAACTTACCACCTAGTTCAAATGTGCACACTGCAGCACATACAGAGAGAGGGAGGGGAGGGAGAGGCCAAGTGAGAGTGAGATCTTACCAATGTCGTTGCGGCCATGGATCACTGGCACCTGGTCACTGAAAGTTAGTTGGGGGAGACGAGTGTAAAACAAGTAAATTTTAATAAGCATCAACCAGAAGAAGTATATCGCTATATAACTCTGTACATTGACTAGTAACAATCAATGCTGGTCTATCTTCTCTTCTTACTTGGTGATGGTATACACAATATTTTGGTTATTCTCTTCATATAAAGATTGTCCCAGATAATGTATATAGTTCATAGTTTACATGGTTCAATAGAATTGTGAAACTTCACAGAGAACAAATTAGCAGGTACATTGCACAAAGTCTAGCCTCTCTAGGTTCCCAAATTTCAAAACAAGAACAACACTCAAGAGTGTAACCTGTGGTGACAAGCAGTGGTGGAGCTTCAAAGAAATTTCAGAAGGGGGGAGGGGGGCAAAGCTACAAAATGGTATGATTTTGTTTTTGGAATATCAAAGTACGACCACACATTAGAATTCTCGTAGCATGTTGAGCATATTGATCTTATCTTCTTACAAAATACTCCCTCCATCCGGAAATACTTGTCGGAGAAATGGATGTATCTAGACGTATTTTAGTTCTAGATACATCCATTTTTCTGACAAGTATTTCCAGACAGAGGGAGTACATTTCTAACACCAATTACATGTAAATTCAGTCTAAATGTGTACCATTTTCCCAAAGTACCATCATAGTTAACATGCATAGTGAATGGCTAAGTTGAGTCATCCAAGTTATATCATGTGAATTACTTATGAAAATCCACTAAGCAAATATATTTAATTGGCTATAAAAAGGCTACATTTAAAATAGGGATTGTAATACCGATTAGCTAGCTCGACATCAACTTAGAACAAATTAACTTGGGCATACATTTTAAAAAAGAGTGAAAAAAGTGCCTCGACTGTCATCTAAACAAAAAAATTGGGATGGATATTTATATCTAGTATATAAAGAACAGAACATGACACATTCCTAGATATCTAACATTTATAGAGTTTTAAGTCAGTATGTCTCGTTGCCTGGATATATTATTTTTCACAACCAAACTTTAGCCCATGCAGCGAACAGAGCATCATTAAAAATGGAGTATCAACCCTTCACAACATTGATATATACAAAAAGCTATAAATTAGATAGAAAAAACTAATCTATGACAACGTAACAGTATATATATGCAAAACACATATAAATTAGATAGAAAAAAGTAAGCTATAAATTGCTAAACACGTATTTAATCTTGTTTCTAGAAACTGAACTAAACTTTTACAGAACTAATGTTCCAAAACTACAGATAAAAAAAAGTTGCAGGTGCATACAAGCCTAACAGTAAAACCACTTAACATCTGAACTATTATGGAAGCTACAGAACTAACGAAGCAAATTTATAGAGAAAATACAACTATAAAATTTATAGAAGCATGACTGTACAAATACAAACTGCTAGATCTTGATTCCAGAAAAACTGAACTAAGTTCTATAGAACACAAAATTATAGAGGTAAAAGTTGTAAGTTAATAAAATCCCACATGTAAAACCACTTAAGAACTGAACTAATCTGCAAGTTTTACAGAACTAATTTTGCAAAAACATAGAAATACAACAGTAAATCTATACAACCGTGAGTGACGCTATGTCTTCCTACCGAAAATCCTTCTGCTAGAATTGGAGCATTGAGACTAATAATTTAACAAACACTTGCAGTGTGTTGCCCTGCAAAAAGAAATAAGCATGAGGCATAGGAACAGGGAAGAGTTGGATGTGGGGAGAGAAAGTGAACCATACCTTGTTGTTGGCCGGAAAGAGTAACAAAGCTCTAGCCTCTAGGCCAATATCATCCTCGTAGAAGTCATTGAGGAAGAGGTCTGTTTCTGCCCGCTTGCAGAGCCTGTGTATGGTGTATCTCAACCCTCGCCTGATTCAGAGCATGTAAATTGAATATACTCCTATGTTTGCAAGAATTCTACAATGCTTAACTAAAACTCTGAAACATTAGTACGATTATTTGGACCTTTTGTGGAACCCGAAACTAGTTCTCAGGGTTGCCCCTCTTCTCAAAGCACAGATACGTGCATTCATTTATATATAAAGAAAGCAATGAATTTTCATAGGATGAATACCGTTGCATCAACCTTCAAGCACAGAACATAATATGATAGTTCGGCAAAGGTCCAACGATCACAAATTCACAATTCACAAGCCCTAAAGTTCACAAATCAATCATAACCAGCTCATAAAAAAAGTAGCCAATTAAGATTTCCTGCAACACCGAAAGGAATACCTGTAGTACAGATTTTTTTTTTTTTTTTGCAATCATAGCATCAAGCTTGTTGTTCTCAAGTTCTCATCCTCTCATCTCCAGAAATCAAACAAGCGGTAGGCAGCTCTTAGACTGCATTTACGGCTACCCCATTAGCAGTCACTGACATTCTGCTTGAGCTCGAGCTCCCAACCGAGGCGCTGCTTGCTGGGTAGAAGTACTACCACAAGTTATGGCAGATTTTCTTCAGAAAAGAGAAGGGAAAAGCAAACAAATCAACTAACGGCTGCACCGATTGGGGAGGAGTGGAGAGGGAGAGGAGAGGGAAAAGAACACTCACCCCAGGGGGAGGGGAAGAAGCACCAGAAGTCAACGGCCAGATCCCCCTTCAAACTAACCCGCGAGCGCAGATCGGAGGAGGCCCATGGCGATGCAGCAGCGGTGGCGGCGCCTGAGTGACGAGCGAGGGTGTGCGTGCTCTCTCTCCCATGTGACCCACGTCTCTCTCACCCCTGGATGTGAGAGGGACGACAACGTCCACCACCGGGCCTTGACGAATGAAGGTGACAGGGCACAAGCTAGGGTTAGAAGTGGTTGGGGGCTCGCGGTGGGGGACATGGCAGCAACCTCGCTGCCCCGGTAACGACGTACGGGCCGCTATAGCTAGCAGCCGGCGGCGGATGGAGCGTGTGAGAAGATTAGATTTGGGGAATTTGGGAGCGGCCGGCGGCGGAGAGAGCGCATGAGAGGATTAGGTTTGCGGGATTTGGATATGAGAGTGCTGAATGGAAAAGTGTGAGGGAGGCTTGCCGCTAAATTTTCGGCCCCCGCGCGCGCATAGACGCGGGCCGGCCCAATTGGGAACCAACGGTTGGTCGGCATTAATCGCCGACCAACAGTTCGATGGAGATAGAAGCTTTTCCGACCGACAATTCAATGTCAATTATCTATGTATTCCCGACCGACAGTTGATCGTGATACGTAAATATTACCGTCCAACAGTCCGATAAAACCTTTCCCGACCAACAGTCGATTGGCGAAACTGACTTTTCCCAACACACAGCGGTAGGAAAATCTAGTGCGTGGTGTAGTGATTGTCTTGCGCTCTTCTTTTCTGAGTTTTTTTTTCTGGCTTTACTAATCTTGCAACTTAGATTATTTCTGTAGTCCATTTTATTTTTTCCCCGAGTGCCTGCTAGAGTACGCAAGTTTAATTTCATTATTATCACTTAATTATTCATATTTTGTCATTGTCCTCTAATTTTGAACACGCATGCAATTCAATAGGGTATTCGATGTCTTTCTAAATGAAAAAATGGGCAGTATTTGGCATGCATACCGAGGCCTATTCATTGCCAGTTTGACCACCGGCGCTCACAGATTTGAAGCTAAGACCAACAGTGGCGCCAAACCCAACATCTTTATTCGGATAACTACTTCATGTCTCGAAAGGAAACTAGAAAAGGCGGACGACTGTTATGATGCGATGTCTTACTTCTTACTGATATGCATGATAGAGCTCTTTTTGTGGTTTATAGTCAGTATTGCAAAGGCGGCCGTTCAAGCACTCATATTCGCCATTATACTGCTTCCTCTGGCGATTCTCTATGTGTTTGGGCTGTACATCTCTACCATTATCTCGTTGTGGCGTCTAATACAACACGACTACGGTGAAGATGGAGGCGCTAACATGAAGCTGGCACTGAACGTCTTGTACTCACTAGCTGTGGTCCAGGGTTTGGTCTTCTGCTACAAGATCATTTTCGCTCGCCGGGAGAAGAGTATGATATTGATAATGGCTAGTGAAGGGCATTCCGTAGACGAACGTGGGTGGTCGGACTACCTGCGTGAGACCAAGATTGGATGCGAGAAAGACCCGAGTTTTGCCAGAGGGAGGAACCTCGTGACTTATGCCGTGGACCTGATCGAGTCCAGGTCAGCAGCCAGCTACCATTCAGGGACAAGGGTTCTCGAGATGCTCCTGGACTCGCATGGCCACTGTTTGCTTATCAGGCAGATGATTGTATGTGGAGGATCTAGCCACGTACTCCAGAAACTGCTGGCCACACTAGACCACGGAAGCCCATACTGTGGAGAGACGAGGGGGTATGCCACGAATATAGTGGAAAATCTTGCATCTAAGAGACAGATCCGCTTGGCGCAGTTCCCTGGAGGGATTCAGCGCATATCTTCCATGCTCCAAGACCCGCAAAAAAAGAAAGAGGCCTCGCCTATCGAAGACCTGGAAATGAAAAACAAATACACTTCTCAGGTCGACAATGGCTTGCGGATCCTTGAGCATTTGGCCAACGATGAGGACAATCGGATAACCATGACAAACACGCTGGGTCTTCTATCTAGTATCACGGCGCCTATAGGCAGATGGCACCGTGACGGAGATCATTGTCATGCATGGGCCCGCACAGCAGGCCTCATAAACCAGCTAGTCGTCGCTCTTGCTGGAGAGGCTGAAGATACTGGCGTCAAGCTGCGGCGCGAAATCTCACACAACGGAGATGTGGTCGGGGCCCTAGAAAGTATTCTCACGTGTGCTGAATGTGATCCGAAGTATCGCATAGAAGCCAATAACATACTCGCGGATCTATCCGTGGAAATGACGTCAACTGAAGACAATGGTCTAATTAGCTCCTTTACAGCAAGAAAGGAAGAAAACCTCATCGGCATCCTGGTAGATAACTTCATTCATGTCAACAGGGAGGACCCCAACGCACACTCCAGAGTAGATTTTGCAGGCAGTCAGCTGGCAGAGCTATCCAAGAAAAGCAAAAGCAGTGCGAAGCTTATCTTGAGGGCAAACGATGCTGTTGCTCCTGGTCTCATTACAATTGTCGAGAACAAAGCACGTGGATCAGGGAGTGCAGAAGAAATCCTGAACAATCTATGCAATCATTACAGCAAAGATGACGAATGTTTTGACAGACTGAAGAAAGCCTTGATCAATGGCATGACAAAGGTACGTAATGAGTCCCTCTGTCAACTCTATGTTCTCAAGTCTCAACTATACGTGCACAATAATATATATCCCATAATTTGTTTCATTTCCCATTTAGTCCTTATCACATATTATAGTATATGCTAAGCTAAGTGACTGGTAGTCCTATCTGTCCAGATTGATTTGTATTATCACCATAGGAGAACTGAAATAACGACCATTAAAATATGATGACGCAGGTGCTCACAGAAATGCTTCCTCAGTTAGGACAAGGGATAGGAGCAGAAACAGAAGCACATAACAACATTCTTCTTTCAGCACCAGGTGAAGAATTAGAAATAGTTTGTGAATCTCAAGAGAATGCGAAGAACAGGAAGGAAGGTGAGGGCCGTAAACTCAAGGAAATTTTGACATTCTTCTGTTTACTTACGAAGATTTGCAATAAATTGATGAGTGCAGATGATCAAGATTTGTCTAGTCAGTTAGATGACATCATCGCTGTGATGGACTCAGCGAAACCTGTTAGGACTTTTGCCTCCCTTGTAGAGGAAGCACAAGAAGCACTGGAAGAAGTAAAAGCACAGGAAGCTCGACAAAAAGAAGCGTGCAGAAGATCCTAATCCCTCATGAATGAGAGGAATTCTAAATTTTCCCTCCCCTATAGGGATTCAGTCATTAGTGCACTGGCCAACCTATCATACATAACGCGACAGATTCAGTAAACTCTGCAATGTTTTCTTTTATGTTGTGTTGTCTAGCTTGTTTGTTCATGCGTATCCTAGTTTGAAAAACCTGAATGCACTCTATGAGGTCGCAAATAATGAAAACTATCTATCTTTATATTTTTTTATGAGCACGTGTCACCAAATTCTCCAGCTTTATCTTAGGGCAAAAGTTAATTAGGGGCTTTACTTCAACAAACATATTCAAAGTTATGAAGTCAGGTGGCTAAGATAGCTAGCCCTGAAGATCCAAAAGGAAAACTAGAGTACAACTCCCTCCTGCTGGATATAATTAAGAGGCGTATTTATTTCCATTGGTTATGGCAACGTATTTCTCATACAAATTTTACTCAAGTTTAGTGTCCTTTTGTGGAGATGGCAGAAACCAAGCATCTAAGACTGAATCTTCCATCATTCCAACATAAATAAAATAATGCTCAACTCTATATTTCCAAACAAGCATGTAGCTAACTAACAATCTTTGCCGCATCAACAGATCAGATGAAAGTGTGTACCTGAGTTTTGTGCAACGCAAACCAAGATGGATGGTCCATCAGTACACTCCCAACAACATACGAATGAGTAGATCTACTTGGAAGTGTGAATTGACTGAGGAATTTCATCGTTTCTTACAAGCCTCTGCTCAAGGGCGCCCCAAAAAAGTTACTTGATGTTGCATAAAACTACCGTTAGGCAACTAGCAAAAAATGTTGAAGTGTTACAACATGACATGGAAAAATTCCAGTAACAACATGATCAGTAAGAACTTCAGTAATTACTTCAGAATATATACACAGAGTACCACAGAAATGAGCATTGAATATGTTACAACTACAGCAGTTTCAAAATCAACAACAAAATATGAAGATAATCATTTACTCCCACTGTAAAGAATATATGACCGTTCGAGGGAGTATTTTTTTGAAGTTAATCTTTTAATATCGATAATCCAACGAGTCAACTAGTCACATACACTACTAGAAAACGAGCCATTTGTCCCGGTTTCAGAGGCCCATTAGCCCCGGTTCTGGAACCGGGACTAAAGGGTCGGGACCAAAGCCCAAAACCTTTAGTCCCTGTTCGCTCCACGTGGCCGTTGCGGAGCGCCCAGGGAGGAGCACCTTTAGTCACGGTTGGTAACACCAACCGG